AGGCAAGACCCCATCTCTAATTTAAAAAGCAACAACTAAAAAACTCCCAGATGCACAGAGGTCCCAGCTACTAGGAAGGCTGAGGTGGGAGGATTGCTTCAGCCCAGGAGATCAAGGCTGCCGTGAGCTGTTGATTGTGCCACTGCACTTTAGCCTGTGTGACAGAATGAGACTGTTTAAAAAAAAAAAAAAAAAAAGTGTGTGTGTGTTGGGGGATGCAGGCCGGTAATCCCAACAATCGGGAGGCTAAGGGGGGTGAATCGCCTAAGCTCAGACCAGCCTGGGCAACATGGTGAAACCTCATCTCTACCAAAAATAAAAAATTAGCGGGGGCCAGGCGCAGTGGCTCACACCTATAATCCAGCACTTTAGGAGGCCGATGCGGGCGCTGATCACAAGGTCAAGAGATTGAGACCATCCTGGCCAACACGGTAAAACCCTGTCTTTACTAAAAGCTGGGCGTAGTGCCGCACACCTGTAGTCCCAGCTAGTCAGGAGGCTGAGGCAGAAGAATCACTTAAACCCAGGTGGCAGAGGTTGCAGTGAGCCAAGATTATGCCACCACACTCTAGCCTTGCAACAGAATGAGAACTGTCTCAAAAAAAAAAAAAAAAAAAAAATTAGTACCTCCCAGGTACTCAGGAGGCAGAGACTGCAGTGAGCGGAGATCTCACCACTGCACTCCAACCTGGGTGACAGAGTGAGACCCCCATCTCAAAAAAATAATAGTAAAAAGAGAGCGAAAAAAGCAGATATCTAGGGACCCTTTAAGGCTTAAAACTACTAAAAAAACTATTAGATTCCTATGCCGATGTTACATTCAAAAGATGCCTACCAGAGTGCTGTTACTGTGGGAAATTAAAGGAAGATGACATGCAAGCAAAAGAAACCCATAAAAATCCAAATATTTAGTTTCCAGAAATATGGTGACTCCCACTATTTTTTTTTATAGCATCTCACTCTGTCCCCCAGGCTGGAATACAGTGGTTTAATCACAGCTCACTTGCAGCCTCGATCTCCCAGGCTCAGGTGATCCTCCCACCTCAGCCTACCAAGTAGCTGGGACTGACTACAGGCATATGCCACCACAACTGGATAATTCTTATTTTTATTTTGCAAAGATGGGGGTCTCACTATGTTGCCAAGGTTGGTCTCGAACTCCTGAGGTCAAGCGATCCTCCTGCCTTGGCCTCCCAAAGTTCTGGGACTACAGATGTGAGCCACTGCACCCGACCTAATTTTTTGTTTTTTAAACTAGCTAAGAAGTACCTAGACTAGTAACTACGTGTACAGCTATTTTTACAAGGACTTCAAGTAACTCAGCTTGGGACTTATGAAAACTGTTACTTCACAGTTCATTCCAAACTAAGGGGCTATTTTAGTGAAAATACAGTGTAGTTAAAACCTTCCTGCCTAGGATCAAATGAGATCAAGTACACAAAAGTAGTCATGCTGCCTACCATACTCAACCTATATGTACATATACATACAAATTTAGCCCAACTTTCATTCCTCCGTTTGTTACAGAATTATACTGACTATATCACGTCATTTCAGTTCTGAAGATGAAATCATTTTCAGAATTGGAACTTGGGAAATGCATTATTATCCACAAACTCTCGCTTCTCTTCAGTAATAATTCCAAACCACAAGGACAAGGAAGGGGTATAGTCTACCACAAAACACATGCCCGAGGAAACAGGCCATCCTATGTTACTGCCATTAAATACTTATAACCATCTTTATGCAGAGTATTCTACCACACTAACTAGACAACCAACACTTAAAAGAAATGGACAGTATAGCCAGAGGTGGTGGTGGACGCCTGTAATCCCAGCTACTTGGAAGGCTGAGGCATGAGAATCACTTGAACCCAGGAGGGGGAGGTTGCAGTGAACCAAGATCGTGACACTGCACTCCAGCCTGTCTCAGAGCAAGACTGTCTCAAATTAAAAAAAAAGAAAAAGAAATGGACATGAAAACAACCTCAAACTGTGCCACCTTAATAGCAACCTCTTGCACAGGGGAAGTAAAGACTTTTAAATGCTTACTTAATTGTACATTAACTTCCATCAGTCAAGCCCCTCAGACTTTTTCCCCTAACTGGCTGACGTGATACTTACCACTTCATCAAGCAAAGCCATACACTACCAAGTTCTCTGGGTGTAAAAAAGTGGTCCAGCAATTTGCTAAGATAAAATGCAGAACATGTAAAAATACGTTGGTTTTCTCAATTACTCTAATTCCACACACGAGAAAAAATATACTCTTTTAGTGGTTAATGTATCTTAAAAAAAGACTTTTTTTTTTTTTTTTTTTTTTGAGAGAGTGTTACTCTGTCACCCAGGCTGGAGTGCAGTGGCGCAATCTCAGCTCACACAACCTCTGCCTCCTGGGTTCGAGTGATTCTCCTGCCTCAGCCTCCAGAGTAGCTAGGGTTACAGACGCCTGCCACCACGCCTGGCTAATTTTTGTATTTTTAGTTGAGACAGTGTTTCACCATGCGGGCAAGGCTGGTCTCAAACTCCTGATCTCAAGTGATCCGCTGGCCTCTGCCTCCCAAAGTGCTAGGAATAAAAGTGTGGGCCACCGCACCCGGCCAAAACCATGACTATTAGTTCCAATATGATCAGTGTTTAATCTCTTGAGCTACCAAAATACATGGAAGTTATCTTCTAACAACCATTAAGTAAAATACTCATGTTTCATTTAAACATGGTTTCTGCTAAACTCAAACTACTTGAATTCTACTAGGCACCTTGGAGGCAGGAGAGCGCCTGTTACCACTTCCTATTAGGTTTTGACAGCTCCTCGACTCCTTTGCTCTGGCCTCTTTCAATCACAGATCCATCCAGCGGTAGTTGTCTCACCTCGAGACTTTCACTATATACAATCAAACTAGCTTTTTCAGTGCAGCCTCTTCATTTCTATCTCATTCATTTCTCTGAAGTCTATCTTTTAATACTCACCATATTTTGAGTCTCCATCCAGTTCTAAGAATTTATGAAGTAGCTTTAAAGTAACTATAGGGGAAGGGGCTCCACCACTTAAATGGAGTACTAAACGTAATCATCACAGGCGTTAGATTAACTACTATGTCAGAATTATTCTCAGTCTATTTAGTATCTCAGCAATTTAGCTAGGTAGTATATAAATATACTAATAGGATACTGACATTAAAATCAGCACTGAATTAATAATTGCCTTTGTAAAGAAAAGATAAAGAATTTACACCTGCAGATAATATCCTTTTGCTATATAGATGGCTTTTCTGACCTTCGTTAAAAGTATTAAAACGGTAAAACAAAACCCCCCAAAAAAACTTTGCTTTCTAGCATCTTTCTTTTCATGGGGAAAACAGGTACCTTTCTACACACAAAGTAAAACGCATAGAGGCCTAAAATTAAACTACCCGATTTTATTTACTAGCAAAGGTCCACAGTCGAGTAAACCAACCCAACCTATTCACAAAGAGCTAAATACTTGGGGGGGGGGAAAGCTTTCCCAAAATCTAAGTGACTAAAAATTATCCGCTAAGATTCACAGGCCCTTTCCACTAGGTACTGCAGAACGACGAAAAGGCCAGGAATTCGCTGGCAACGGCGGTGACAGGCTCAGACTGACGCTCGGAGCCCGCACACGCGAGCCCTACGTGCAGCCCAAGTCCCGCCCCGCAGCAAACGACGCCTCAGGCGAGCGTGACCGCCAGGGCACGGTCCAGCCCGGCGCTGGGTGGGCGGGGAGCAAGGAGGCCCGAGACGCCCACGCGCGCCGCGTCGCCCCTTCTGGAAAGTGCCTCCCGCGAGCAGTTGGGAGTCCCGAGAAGTTGGGGGCGGGCGGGGCAAGCGCCCGCGGCGCCCCCGAGTGGCCGGCAGGGGAACGGCAGCGCCGGGCGGGGGCGCGCGTCCCGGAGACGGCAGTCCCCGGCCCGCGAGGCCGCGGCGCAGCCCCGCCAACGCCCGCCCGGGCCGGGGGCGCGCGGCGGCCGCCACAACGGGCTGGCGGGCGCGCCCGTTGGTGCGGGCGCGGGGGAGCGAGCGCGCCGGCCCCTCCCCCGGCCGTCCCCGCCCCACGCGACGCTTCCCCCTCTCGGAGAAACTACGCCATTGCGGCCTAGCCGGGCGGCGCCGGCCCCTCCCCCCGCCGCCCGCCGCCATCTTCGCGGCCCGCCGCCCGCCGCCGCCGCCGCCGCGCCCCCGCCGCCGCACGGCCCGCCATCTTTTGGGGCCGCCATACTTGCCCTGGCGAAGAAGATGGCGGCGCCCATCACACACATAAAACATGGCTTCCCTTCAAAACAAAAACATCCCGGGGCCGGGGCGCGCGGCCGGCGCTCACCTGAGGACCACATGGTGACCGAGAACTCGCCCTCCAGGGTCTTGATCTGCACCTGCTTCTGCTCCCACTTCTTGTTGCCCGGGTCGGCGCCGCCGCCGCCCGCCGCGCCGGCCCCGCCGCTCAGGTAACTCTTCTTGCCGCTCTTCTTGCCGCCGCCCTTCTTGACGCGGCCGCCGCCCGACGACGACGAGCCGCCGCCGCCGCTCTTGCCGGCCGCCGCCACGGTGACCAGCGTCTGCTCGATGTAGTCGTCGTCGCCGCCGGCCGGCGCGGGCACCGGGATGAGGATCTGGTCCTCGAAGCCGTCCTCGGCGCGCAGCCCGTCCGAGTCGTCGCCGCCCACCACCTCCTCGCGCGTCTGCACCAGGATCACCTCCTGGTGGTGGTGCACCTGGGTCGGGTCGTCGGTGACCAGCGGCTGCAGCGCGATCATGGGCGGGTGGTGGTGGTGGTGGTGGTGGTGGTGGTGCACGGCGTGCCCGTGGCCGCCCCCGCCGCCGTGGTCGCCGCCGCCGCCGTCCTCGTCGTCGTCGTCGTCCTCCTCCTCCTCGCCCACCACCGTGGTCTCGATGGTCTCCACCGGGATGGTCTCCACCTCGATCTCGTGCAGCTCCACGATCTCGGCCGGCATCTCCGAGCCGTCCGTGGCGATGTAGAGGGTGTCGCCCGAGGCCATGGCTGAGGGCTCCGCCGCCACGGCCGCGGCGGCCTCGGCTCCTCGGCTGCGGGCGGGCGGGCGAGGAGGCGGCCGGCCGTGGGGAAGGAAGGCAGAGGGAGGAAGGCGGCGAGCGGGCGGGGGGAGAGGGGGCGGGCGGCGGGGGAAGGGGCGGGCGCGGCGGCCGCGGCGGCGGCGGGGCTTCCCCGCCTCCCTCGCCTTGGTGCGCCCCGCGCTCGCTCGGCCGCTGCTCGTCCCGGCTCCCCGCCTCGCCTCGCCGCAACCGCCCGCCCTGGCCGCGCCTCCTCCCGCCCTCCGGGCCGGCGCTCCGCTTCCCCCTTCCTCCTGCGCCTCCGCCTCCTTCCACACAAATACCAACTCCTCAGCCCGAGCCCAGATCTCGCCGCCGCCGCCACACTCTGCTCGTGCCGGGCCTCGCGAGACTTCCGCGCTGGCCTCAGCCCGCCCCGCCTCACTGCCACTCGCCCGCTCGCCCTCTCGCTCCTCCTTCTCTGCCAATCGATCTGCCCGCTGGCCGCCGAGGCCCCGCCCACTCGCCGGGCTCCTCCTGGATTGGGGCCGGTGGGACCGGGGGCGGGGCCGCCCGCACGCGCGCTGGCTGGCCGGCCCGCGGCGCGTGACGTCAGCGCGCCGCCGCCGCTGCCGCTGCCTCCCGCCGCTCGGTGTCGCGCGGCTCCCGCCCTCCGCGGTGCAACAGCCACAAAACGCGCTGCCTCGGGCCCGGGCCGCACTCGGGAGCGGGGTGTCGCCGCTGCAGCCGCCGCCTCGGGAGCCGGTGAGCGGTCCGCGCGGCCCCGGGCACCACGGGGGCGGGAGCCCGAGGAGAAGGGAGGAAGGGGCCTGCCGGGAGCGGGGTTGAGGCCGGTGGGAGGTGCGGGGGCCGCGCGGGGAGCGGCCGGCGCGCGCGGGGCGGCCCCGTCGCCCCAATAAAGTCTGCTTTGACGAGAAACGCCTCTGATTCCTTTTTCGCGTCGGGCGGCGTTTGTTCTTGCCGCCTGGCTTCGGGCGAGCGGTGGCCGCCGGGTGAGTGTGGAGGGCGGAACGGACAAAGACGGGTGGCGCGGGCTGTGTCCCGCATCTTGCCGCGAGCGCCCGTCTGGGTGCCGTGCAGAACGCGTGGGGCGGCGCGGGCTCGACGGAAGCGCCCGCGGAGCCCCGGGGCCACCGTTGGGTGGGTGTCCGTTATTCTTTTGTGACCCGCGGAAACCTGAGACGCAGCCGTTGGGTGCCTGTTTCCCCGTAGATCTTAGAACTACAAGGTCCTGGCGGCTCTGCTGTGGCTCGGCTATTTATAGCTTTCTAAAATTTCCTCCTGAGCTTTCCCTTTTTCGCTCTCCAGCCATTGTTTCCCTTGCCCACCATTTCCCCCTATTTGTCACTTTCATAGGTGCTCCTTCTTAGGCCTACCAGGTTTTGCATTTGTCTCATCATTGAGAATTCCGCATTTTTACCGCCGTGTCCTCCGTTATACCTGCCACAGAGCCTAGATTTTTTTTTTTTTTTTTTTT